GATGCTTCACAGAGACCCATTAGAGCAGGGGCTTTGCTCTCCTTCCTCTGCCTGTCCAGGGAACAGGCAAGAAATTCCTAGGGCAGGTTGTCAGGAGCAGATTGCAAGTTCTTCATTTGCAATGACTGCTGCATGTGCTTCCTCCTGGGGGCACGAGCGTGACAGGATGCCATCCCCGCATCCCGTCTGACCTGCGGCGGAGTTTCTGCTGAGTCCCTGGACGCGGCAGAAGTGACAGCAACCGAAGAGGCAGAGGCTCAGGGGTGGGTGTTCTCTGGTTCATAAGGAATTGGCAGCAACACCACAACTCCCAGAGGCTGCCGCTTCCTCCAGCTCTCTCATTGCAGTTATCTGCTCAAAAACATTAATGCTTTTTTAAGATCACCCTTTTGGACAAAGCTTCATTTCTCCGAAATGTTAACTTTTCTCTGGGAAAAGGGGATGGTTTTTCACCTGCCCTGGTCACTAGCAAGCATCACGGCTCCCGCACGGCAGCTGTACGTTGCCCCTTCCCCTGTCAGTAACACAGGGGACGCGGCGACCACGGAGCTCCTGCCCCGAGTCACAGCTGCCAGAGATCAGCTGTAACGTCAGGCTGAAAGATCCAGTTAGTCTCACAGCCAAAGAAATTCTGCTTAGCACAAAGCAAGCTAACGCTACGTGTCTGCGTGTGCGCTGTGCTGGAAGTCTGGGCAAAAACATTAACGTATGACTATAAAATAGATTTGATCCATCCACTTATTTCCCTCTCCTCCCAGAGCAGAACAGTCACCTAAAAACAAACACTGCCACCACTCCTTTCCTCTTTTGAGCTTCAGTTCTCTTTGCAAAGAGCACTGCAGGATGCGGTCAATCCTTATCCTAGAGTGCACAGAGTTTCCCAGGCTCACATAACTCCTATTGAAATTACTTGACATTTTCTTCATCAAAGAGTGACTCAAGTTGTTAAAACATTTCTGTTACTCATTTTCTAGTAATCAGTGTAAAAAAAACATAATCTTTTTTGAGATAATGTATAACTCAAGCGTTAATCATTTAAGCTCATTATTTCCAGGCAAATATGGAAAGCAAGGGATATCCTAATGGCCAGCCAGGGTCATGCATGGTGACCTTTTAATAAGGCGTATTATTGCCTAATATGCACAGTACAAAACCTTACCCTTCTTAACCCTACTGTTGTCCTTGATAAAGCATTTTTTTCAGCTTAACTTGGATTGTATTTTAAAAATTAAGACCATGTGGTCTGTTAGTAACGTGCAAACAAGATCAACCACACGCTTTGAAAAGCAATCCTGACAGATGCAGATTTTACACTATATACACTTCTACTACAAATGAAATAAGTAAAGCCATTAAATTAACTGCAACGGAAGGAAAATAATCCAGTACTTACATTGACCTTCATTTTGTTGACTCCTATTTCCCTGTTACTCCATCACCCAAGGAGAAGGATGAGATCTCCCCCAGCCCTTCCTCTCCAAGCCCAGTCCAGTGGATCAGGCAGGAGCACTGGAGGGTCTGGCTAGAAGCCTGAAGAGCAAATGCCCAGCCTCCTTCCACCTCCTGCTGCATTTGCCGGGAGCCCCAGAGGAGAGCAGCTATTGGGAACGAGGGGAGCTAATTACGTAGCAAAATTATCTCCAGGGTGCAACTGGCCTGCAGCTGCTGATGCTAATGAGGGCCTGGTGCAGGACACACAGATGTCCCTCCTGCAGAGACCCCCGGGAAATGCCTTTTCTGCTTTGCAACTGCATCTTAACAGGAAAACGCAGGGCAGTGGGGACGAACCAGAAAGCGAGGATTGGATTTAAAGCAATTTTGCAGCATCATTTTTTACTCCTGTTTTTTTGAACTCAGAATTGGTTTGATATACTTCGAAATTTTCATGTTCAGGTCTCTAGAAAACTGAACAGATCTCCTTTCTAGTCATGGAAATCACTGCAAAATAATCCCACTCTTCAGAGGCAGAAAACCTGAGGAGGAAAGCTAAACATTAACTGCAGCTGAAGGGCTTTGTTTCTTTGATTATTTAAAAGAATTCTTTAATATTATTAAATAAGTGTTATTTAAAATTAGCCATAGTTGCTATTTGCTCAGCAACAGCTCTGCCCAGGTTATGCTTATGCAAATGCGCAGGTTCTACCGCTTTGTATTTGTGAATATCTTGGGGTTTGCAAACTTTTACTGTTTTTTTCTTTGTACGTGCTGCCTTTTCTCTGGCAAAAGTCTTTTCCTTCCTCTTTCCACGGTAGCTTCAAGATGAAATTAGGCACTCACTCCCAAACCCACAATCATGTAACTAGAAAAGCAATGCATCTTGAATAGAAAATGCTGAATTGAAAATGCTTTCTCAACAAAATGTACGCCTCTGGGCTGGGGCTAGGAGCAGACAGGCAGCTAAGGCAGTTGTCCAAATGGGAAAGAATTCCTGGCACAGAGCAGCTCATTTGAATGCCTTCGGGGTTTTTTTTTTTAAATATTACAACCAGCAGTTTGAACACTCCACTTCACGCAGAAGATAAGGAACAGCCGTTCACTTACTACCCTGGAATTTTTCAGGTGCTACCAGCATTTGAAATGATCTAGAAATGCAAATAACAAAGTCACGACTTGTGGCCACAAAACTACTTTCAAATACAATTAAACGTTCTCTTGAATTAATCCCAGAGAGGACCCCTGCCATGCCAGGGCAGGGTCACCCTCCGCAGACCATGGGTGACCCACGCTGGGGCAGGGACCCCCCAAGGGACTGTGGCCGCGGGTGTCCCACGCCAGGGCAGGGACAGAGGCACAGAGGAGTGGAAGAAAATGGGCAATAACCACGGAGCAGCAGCAGCAGCCGGAGAGCTTTTCCCCCAGCCCCAACCTCCTGTGCCACTGGCGTGTCCTTGAAGGAACTGGGGCGGACTGAGTGTACCCCACACAAAAATAAGGCAAGTTGAGACTAGGAAGGGGGAGGAAAGGTGCTTACTTAAGTGCTTGCTTAATTGTTCATGGTTTATTCTTTCTCAATCACTCGAATCAGTGATTAGAAGTTTGTGCTAACTGGCAATACATTAAATGAGGTGAGAATTCCCTGGGTCGACACCATTTTGCCCATGACAGAACATTTTACCTCTTAAGATTTCCCCAGGAAAGCTGGGCATCGAGTCCACTTCCACCCGACTGCATCCCTGAGAATAGCCCCAAATTGATTGTCTGAGGCCCAGGAAAATGGAGACTTCACCATTCTCTCCAGTATTTCCTCTTGGCTATTTAAGTAACTCCTGGCTCAATATATTAACTCTGGCAAATCCTGTTTTGAAACACGTATTTGCTCCCAGGTGTTTGAGATGGGGACGAGGGGGTGACAGCAGGCACCCTAGAGCCACGGGGCTGTAGGTGCACGCATCCCCAGGTGCAGAGGAGCTCAGAGAAACAAATCTCACGTCGTTCTTCACTCCCTTGTTTGTGGGCAAGATGGGAATATGTGAACTGGGCGTTTCGAAGGAGAGACAAACTTCAGATCAATTTCATGTGTGTTTAAAAAACGCTCTTATTTTTCCTTTGGCAACAGCACAGAAAATGTAAAATACGAGAACTCTTTCCCAAGCACAGCCCATCATGGTAATTGTCTTTTAAATTGCACCAAGAGGTGCAACGTTTCCTGTGCAGACTATGTCGCAGGTGTATATGCAACAAGAAAGAAGTAACATCATTTCTCTGGCTGCGCTCATATGCTGAATTAATTTTCAGAAACAGTTTTCCTTGTGAAGGTGGAATAGTTGGGGCACAGTGATAATTGCAAAGCGTTACCTGTCACGGTAAAGCTGCTGATGGTTGGCACCTGGTGCTTCAAGAAGTCCAGATAATAGAAAAAACACATCCTTAGTATTTTCGTATTAAGTATAGCATTCAAATATTACAGTAAACAGTACTGCTAGGGTAGGAGGAACCTTATAAACAGTTCATAAATTATACAGCAGAAATAAATTTGACTTTCAGTTGTTACTCAGCTGGATTTGACTGGGTGTGCTATGGCTGTGTCTGAAGATCTCGCAGCAGAACAGGAAATCAGCTTGCTACCGTTACATTTATTTAGCCATTGGCAATCCATTTAAGAAAACTGAAAATATCATACCTAGAAATAGAAACTCTCTTCTCTATATAGAAAATAAAAATGTCCTGCATCAGTTTCTGACGACTTAACGTGAAAAATAGTCCTCTTATCTTTACATGCCTCAATGGAAAATTTTGAGTGCAAAAGAATGACTCATCGAGCTGGTACTAAGCTTTTTTTCCCCGCTATATTTTGTATCAAATTTCCAGGAGGCAGTTTATTTACAGTAAACACTGAGATCATAATCCAGGATGAAAATTATAATTCCATTAGACTTGCAGACAGTAGGACAATCAAGGCACTGACTTTGAATCAAGACTTCAGCATTCTCTAAACCTTACAGCTGCCGCAGGTTATTTTATCTATGTATATATATAAGATTATACTAGTTGCAATATGAATACACAAATAAATGTAAAAAACCTTATAAACTAGTTCCAGTCTTTCAAAAGAAACAAATACAGTACTTCAAAATTTCTTCTGTATTGCGTGTAATGGAGGGAAATGATCTATCGTGCAACAGGTCACCTGGACTGTCACTGAAGGTCTCTGGCAATATAACCGTGTCTCAGATGTTACTCCAGGATAGCAGTGAGACAGGTGGAACCTTGAAGTTATATCAAATGTGTTTATTCACAGGTATTTGCTATTTGGGAATCCTGCTTTATTCGGAGTCCTCCCCAAGAAGAGGTTTCTTGGGGTTAGTAGTTTTGTCACAACAAAAAGCGCAGGGAGACATTAGGTACACGAGCATCGTACAGAGCCTTCCGTCCACCTCGAGGTGAGAACACCAAACATTTCCAACGTCACCAAGCATCATGCCGAATTCAAACACCAAACCCTACTCTAGGACCCTTTTTTCTTAATTGTTTATAAGCTGTACTCAAAAAACCAGACCTACCTTTGCAGTTCTGTTGATTCTTGTGTTTTTATGCATTGTTGTCATTCACCAGCAGCGTCACTTTGAGCAATACAGATAATTACGGCAGGATGAAGAGACTTCAGCTTTGCGCAGTCACCGTGTGTTAGAAACTACGTCTCAAGAAAGCACATCTGACAGCTCTACCCCTAAAAGCACTTAGGAATTTGTAGAGAAGAGTCTCATGAAAGATAATTTCTGTGACAACAGATTAAAAGGAACAGAATGCAAAACAGAAAAACCCTATTACCGTCTAAAAGCAAGGAAAAAAGTCTGTCTGCAAGTGGAATTTTCCTTGATCTCTCTGTCACCAACTTGTCGCAATTAACCGCAGTCAGAAGTCTCACCCTTCTGTTTTGCTACATGTTCCTCTATTTCCTCTTTTAGAAATGTAATGAATACAAGAATACCACAAGGGGCTGCACAACGCTTGATAGAAATGACTGCCACAATCCCATCAATTCAGGATTTCGAAGCCAACATTTTTCATGCCTTTCAAAGTTGTCTCAACTTCTAAGGCACCGATACAATTTTTTGTTATAAAGGGGCTTTGCGAAAACCTTATGTATTACCATCCATACCTGGGGGTGAATGCTGTGTGAAAGACTCCTCCTGGCTGCACCAGGGCTTAAACACGTACACAAGGAAATGCGTGGGCTCCTGTCCTGCAATATCCTGCTCAGCGAGTAGAGCAGTTGTGCTGCAGCATGTGTGAAGGGTCCCTTACAGCCACACGGAGAACTTCCTAACCTGAACTACAATTATCTTAACTACTTTTCCTTTATTGCACTTCAGTTTTTCCTGGGATTCAGTCTCACAGGGCAGCTCTGGTGGAAAGACAGCCTCTGTGTCCAGGAAATGGGAAATATTGATCCCAGACCAGTGCCCCCTCTTAAGTAGAAAGTTTGAAATCTGTTTCAATGGGTGGCAAACAAGCCTAATTCCAGAAGTGGCCTTTTAGGAAAAGGCTTTCCCTAGAGCCGTGTGCCGGTTACTGACGCTAAGTCAGCGTGCCAAGGAATGCTGAAGGCCAAAAGACACAAAACCATAATTATGATTTGTCTCCAAAGTTGCTTTGCTTTCACGTCAGCATGGCTCACTGGCCTGATGTTAGCCATGGCATCACCTTCCCAAATTTCCACGATAGCTTCTTCCAAGGAGAGGCAAGAGTAGGTTACATGCCAGATGGACACGAGGGACCTTTAGCCAGGTGACGGAGACTTTCCTGAGGAGGTGATAAATCCCCGAGTATGACTGTGCTTCTCCGAGTGGAGCAGCTCGCTGGGATGTCGCTACCAAGAGGTACAGACTGCAAAACTCGTGAAGGGCAAGCGGCTGCACTGGAATTTTAATTAATCAAATACAGCTTCTAGGCGTGAAGCCTCTCTGACGGTAGCAGTAAGCATGATCACATGAAGAATGTTTACTTAGATACTTCCAGACTTGCACAGTGAAAAGATGTATTCCCCTTCAATCAAATGCAGATTTAACAGGAGGACTGTGTGTGTACGCAACCTTGTTCTTCAAGATGCAGCTATGGCTCCTCTTTACGGTACTTCCACGCGTGCTTGCTCCGAATGCCGTACAGCAGCCTTGCCCCCTCTCATTCTCGTCCCCGGTCAACCACCGTCAACTACCAGAGTACCACTGGGATGTGATAGTACTAAACTATTTCACTCTGGGGGTGCGCGATCTACCTAAATAGGATGAGCTAAGTTCCTTCCAGCCCTTATTTCTTAAGCAGAAAAACCCCAACTTCTGGCCTCAAGCAAGATGATATACAACATGAAAAGAAAGAAAGGTGCCACTGTCAGGACATTTTTGCGTTAACAGAATAAAACTCTATTTCTACACTGCAAGTTAAAAGACCACAGAACTAAGGAAGCTTGAGGTGAAAGCTAGCATGCTGCTAGCTTTCAACCACAGCAGTGGTTTAACACATAAAACACCAAATTAGTGTTTTAAAAATAGAAGAGTCCAAAGACCAGTAGCAAATGCGGTACTAATGGACAGCTTCTTTAACAGAATTGAAACAAATGTGGCACTCCAAAAAACACTGCCACTGCTATCAATTTAGCAGGCTGGCTGTAACAGCAGAGGGCTGCTGTCGCTGAGCGAATACAGCATGCATTAATAACTGTGTGTCAGGACTTCCCCTTCCCCTCCCACCAAGCTCTGGTTCTCCTTGTTTCTCCACCGAAAAAGCCACCAGAACTGCTATCTCATGCCTCCCATGTTTATGAAGTTTTAGAAACTTGAAGGGAGGCAGAGGAGGAGCGAAGAGGATTGCTAAGCCTAAGAAACGTTTTGCGCAGCAGCAGCTTTTAAGAGGAAAATTAAATTTCACTCTCTACCTCTTAAAAAACCACCCCACATTCAATACTGTTAGTCTATAGTTGTGTCTGATTCAGATGTATCACAACAAACTAATTCGTCAAGCTTTAACATGTCCCCAAAGACACAGCCTTCCAATATTCAATTGGTTTCTCCTTTGTTATATAGAAAAGAAAACTAATACATTTCCTTCTTTATATATTAAATAACCTCTTAAAAGGTAATCTTTATTTAAATACAGACAAAACCTGTACCCTCCTCAGCCCTTGACAAGACACTTCATCAGTGGTAATGGAAAGTTAATCCAGCAGTAAGAACAATCTTACATTTAAAAATCCTCATGAAAGCAAGTGCTGAGCTTTTGACTACAGGAAGCCTCCCAAATGTGAAGCCCAGGAGCACTGTACAAGGATGCTTGAACAAACACATTTAAAACTTTGCACAGGCAACTACCTGTAAAGATAAGTAGTGAATTTTCAAACTTACAGAATGTTTAAGCACAGAGTTTCTTAATGATCTGTACTTCTGTTGAATCAGATGAGGTCTGGGAAACTTGGACTATTAGAGATAACAGGGAGAAGAAATAATGAGTCTGGGTTTTTGAATAATAATAATAAAAAAAGAGTGTAATTCAAGTGCTGTGTAACAGACTTATAGAATGAAAATTCCTCAATAAAATGAAGCAAAGTGACATTTCTGAGGTACATATACAAAAATTAATATGCACAACAGTTTCTTTCTTTGAGAGGATACAAAAGGTCTCTATGGCAAAATTATTCTCATTTTCACATGCTGCAGCACTGTCACATTTTACAGTTGCAATGTGGATACTCCTTGAAAAAACTATGAATTTACTTTGAGGTCCCACTCATTAAGATAAATTCAAAAGAAGACGAGATTTCAAGTCTGAGCTTTAATACCAGAACTAGAACACCATTTCTTGAATTCATCTAAACAATTTAAAATCCTGTTTCAAATTCTTATGGCACAAGACTGGCTCAGAATTGAAGGTCCACTTGGCCAATTAAAAAAAAAAAAAAAATTCCACCAAAAAACCCCCAGACTAAAAGATACAAAACAGCTTTACAAAGAATGAATCGGAACTGAAGGCAGCTTAAGGCTTCATTAAAATAATTGCCAAGTTCTGCTGTTAAATATTTGCCAAGTTCTGCTGTTACTTGTGTAATCCATTCTTTAAACAGACTTCAGTGGGATTGCACAGATACAATGCAGAGCAAAACTGGCTCATACTGCCCAGTTTGAGCAAGATACAGTCACATTATCTTTCGCGGGATTTAGAAAGACAGGAGAACAAGTTTAATCCTTCCTGCAAGGATCATTTTATTCTCCCCCACACACTCCTTGAGTACAATTAGAGATGACTTACGAAAATTAATGCCACACACACTAATAAAAAAAATTAGCGTGGGGCAAAACTTAGTCTCAGTACTTTGATCTTTTTCTGCCACGTTTGACAGAATTAAAAAACAGACACAGCACGGCTTTCATCTAGGCATCTGTTGGCAGTACAATCAATACAAGATGATATAATGAATCTGGATAATCACTGTTTTGTAAAGCTGTCCTTAGTCTGTCGTTGACCTTCTGTACCAAAATCTAGCCCTGTAGTCGTCACTGCAGGTCATGAAGCCAGGATTGGTAGGAGAATGGACAATACAACGGACGATGCTGTTGTGCCCCAGAGAAAGAAGATTTCTCCGTTCAGCAGTTCTTGAATCCCAGCAGCAGAGACTTATGGTCCTTTCATCTGGAAGCAGCACATAATCTTCTGTGTGGTTGAAGACAGCTTGTGTCCTGTGTACTTGTCGTCCACTCAAACCAGCTCCTAAATAAATGCAGCAAAATATTAACCCAAATAGGATCAGTTTTAGGAAGTTTCCAAAGACCTAAGAATAAACCTCCCATAAGTATCAATTTCTGCAGTCTACAAAGGAGCCTTGTGTTCTCAGTTAGTCTACCACTTTCACATACAACAGGTGACTCAATAATGAATATTCGTTTGTAGTTATACATGGTATATTCTAAAATTTCTTGGAGGACAGAAAGATTAACTACTCCAACTGTGTCAGTCAAGCCCAACCACTCGGTGTGAGTGCAATCACTTAACTTTAAGAGCACTTTTCCCTCGTATTTTTTGTACGAGGCTTACAGCTGTAACTAAGGGGAAAGACCACAGGTCGTAGAATACACAGATTCTCATTATCAGTGGCAACTTTTGTTTAATGTATATCTCATATGGCACATTGTATGACCTACCTTGGCCATACCTTCCCTCCATACCCTTGAAATAAAATGTGTGTTTCATATATATAGGCATTTACTTTGCAATGCACACACCTGCATCCTACCTGATATTTTGTGAAAGTTTATCAAGGAGGTGCTGCACCCTGCTGGTTGAGAGCAAAATAGAGCTAGTGTACAAAAAAGGACTGTACACATCCCAAAAGCGGATATACAAAATTTTCAACATCCTCTCCTCTTTTATGCTGTGACTCCTAATGCTTAAGCACATTACTGCTTGACCCAAAAGCTTCCCCCATCACACAGCTGCTACCATATGCAAAGCTTCTACATCCTTCACCATTTCTTACGTCCTGCTGAGACCAAAGCATGGTATTGTCAGCATGCTCCGAGTATGACTACCTTGCACATAATTGCATCCTTAGAAAAAAAAGAAAAAAAGAAACAAACCATCTGTAGCTATTTTTCAGAATATTGCCGTGGCTTACTAGAACCATCTGTTGCACGAGAGTCTAATGGTTAAAGCAACTGCCCCAAAGTAGGTTCAGTTCCCCCCATCTGGGTGGGTAGTACTCTGCAGGAGAGCGGTCTACTCTAGCCAGAAATGGATTAGGTGTTCGTTTTGACCCTTCCAGTTTAAACTGTGCCCCCTAGTCTAGCAACAGATAGAAAAGTCACCAAGTCAAAATGATCACCAGCAAGAAAAGTGATGATGCAGTTTTGTTTTAATAATCACTGTTTCTAAAACACACTAAAGAAAAAGTAGAGAACAAAACCCTCTGCACAAATGTCCTAGGCTTTAGGGCAGTGTTCCTTTTTACTTTTCCCTAATTTAGTGGTAACTTCCCTCCAAAGCAATAGAGTAATGATGTCAGAAAAGTCTCCAAAATCTACTCAGACTAAATACGTTTACGCTGACCAACATGTAAGAATCACAGCTTCTCTTCTGGAATTAGTCTACATTAAATGTTTTCAAAAATTTGGGGCAATTTATCCTCAAACCAGCAGTCTCCCATTGCTTTTAAGAACTACTATTCCTCTGACAGTACTACCAGCCCTGCCGTGGGTCAGTACCTGAAAAAGAAGGTACTTGGAAGGTCACATACCTGTGTATTTGACCAGTGTTCGACCAGTGGATATCTCCCATAGTTTAGCTACAGAGTCTTTTCCACTTGACAAGATATACTTTGAATTTTTGGAAAAAATAGCAGAACAGACTTCAGCTCCATCATGCGCCTTCTCAAAAGTAGTGATACAGCGATTTGAAACACCATCCCACAGTTTGATGCATCCATCCTTACTTCCTGTCACATACATGTTTGCACTTGCGTTGTAATTTACCGAACATATAGCATCAGTGTGCTGATCTTGAGGATTGCAAGACACAAAACACTGGAAAGTATTGATATCATACAGTCGTAAAGTAGGGTGCTGGGTACCAACAAGTATGAAATCTCCAGAAGGGTGAAAAGAAATTGAGCGCAACATCTCTGCTTCCTGTTTAATCAAAAATACATAATTGGTGTAAGAAAGAAAAAAAGATCTGAAATGGAAGTGTCAATTCTGGTGGCATTAAAGTGCTAAAAAACTAGTTAAATTATCGGTTAGCACAACGTGTTCCATTTTTGCAAAAATAGAAAATGCTTCGTATAGGATTAAAATGACAGGCTACCTTTAAATGTATCGTAGTTTTTGTCCTAGAGCAGCTTGCAGTGCCCGCTCATTTTTGGGATATCGCACAAGAGTGACAGGAGGCTTTGTCAGCCAGTTATACACCCCAAGGCCCACCACGACATAATCCCAAACTCTCCTCCAAAACAAAGATAATATAATTGACTTCAAAGTTACCCATATGAGATTTGGTCTAGATTAACAAAAAGCAGACAGGCACTAGATTTAAAGACTACAGGTATCCATTATGCACAAACTCTTAACATGTAATTACCACAATGTCTGTAAATTTTGTAGCTGCATACTCCTACATACCTAACCACTTATAAACTCAGACACAATTTATCTCACCGATACCTCAGTACTTATACATTCAAGCTTTGGTTGCTCTAAACCGATATTGTATCTAACCTGTATATATTTGAAGGCTCTTTTGGCAGAAGGTTTTGAATAATCAAACAATTTAAGTGTGTAGTCCCTTGAACCAGATGCTAGGATCTGTTCTGTTGGATGAAAAGCTAAACACGTAACTTCATCCACATGATCGTACAGAGTCCGAATAACAGGGTGATTTTCCATGTTTTGCTGTGCTGTCTCATTCATCATGACCTACAAAGAACATTCAACAAGTTAGAGTGTTAGAAAGCAAAACATGCTTTTGACAGGAAAAGTAGGTTTTACGCTTGCCAGAGTGGCCAAACAGCAGCTGCCTTTCTGACACATGACTAGGTACACAATCACCATTATCTTAATTATTTGAAGGCCCATTATATATTGTTATCAGATAAGATCCCTGTATCTTAAAAAAGGTCAACTGACTTGCTCAAGGACAAACTAGTTTCAGTAGCAGAGTACTGATGCAAGAAAACATATCACCTTCTTCATAAACAGTCCAAATCAAAATACTGTATTGCCGTAAGAATTAAGGGAAGCTGTACCAACTGGGAAAACTGCAACTTTTACTCACGCAGGATACTGCTGAGAATTTGGTGTGTACCCTGTGCAAACCCCCCTCCCCCTTTAAATTGCTACCTGATAACTGTAGTAGAGAAGAAAATGAAGCGAATAAATATGTATTCTGTGAAACGGTTCTGAAACACACAGACAGTGGAGGCTGTAGAGGCCAAAAGTGTAAGTGGGTTCAAAAATGAACTGTGTTCATACAGTATTGCAATTATCAGCAACTATTAGAAGCAATTTCTGGCTCAATTCTCTCGACTGCTGCTAGAAGTTACACAGGTATACTTGCCCTATTTCTTCTTCCTTTTCTTCAAGGGTACTTTATGAGCCGCTGTTGGAGTAGGAAATACGGCGAGACAGATATTTAGTCCAACCCACTGAGCCAGCCGCAAGGCACAGACATGGCATGAAACAGACAGCACCTCAAGAATTCACAAAGTGGTTACGATTCAAGTCATATTTTACCTCAATAGGCATAGCACTTTTGGCCAACATTCTCTCTGTATCAAGAATTTTTATTGAGGCATCAGCAGATCCTGTAGCTATTAACTGTCCGTCTCTGCTATACGTAGCTACACGACACGGTCCTTTATGAGATGTGACATAACAAGTCTCATATTCAGAAGCCTCAGGAGACATGGTCTGTACATCTGCATCAAATTCCAAGTCAATTCCTGTGCCTGGAGCTACCGTATCTGACCGTCCAATTGCATATTGAACAGCACTGTCATCGTTCTCCATTCCTGAAAAGAGAGAAGTTGATGCACTTAAACCAGGTTAATCTTCTCCTTAGACAGATAGGCTGTGGCCAGATGTATGCTACAGACTTCTCTAACAGCTGCGAGACAGGTTTTAAGAGAGGCAGCCCCTGCTGAACAAAGCTAAGCTAGCAGAGCAGATTTAGTTATACAGCAGTACTTCTCGTGAGAAATAAGAGGTACTTTGGCTACGCTACAGCAGATTACAGCTCTTAAAATTAACTGTGGAAATACAACCAGCAAATACTGTAGGATGGTAAGTACTCATAAATGCACTGACAATCAGTTACCGAAGCCATCGACAGGCCTCTAGCCAGCTTTTCACAGAAGGAGAAACAAGCCCCAACATTATTACATGAGATTTGAAGTAAAAAACCTGAAGCATTTACTGATTCTTTTCCTTTCCGTTTTATTGCATTGAAGAAAAAAAAAAAAAAACAACCACCCCACAAACAACTATCCCGGCATTGTAAATGAAAATTTTTACTCCTCTTCACACCCACTCTTACAGATTTTTTTTTTTTTTTAATTATTTTTTTATTTCCAGGATGCATCTACAGAACAAAGACAGTTCAGCACTAGAAGTGGTAACAGGGCAGACACAAGAATTTTCAGCTACGCGCCCAACTGTGATCATCAACTAACCAAATGCAATGGAAAAGTTTTTGTTGCTTTCATCTGCAAATTGCAAGTCTAGCATTCTTATTTCAAACAGACACAAGGCTTCACATATTTATACTCTTGGAACTCAACTAGTTCAGGCAGCAGAACCAGTTCAGTTACAATACAGAGAAGACACGATGCTATGGCTAGACCTCTTCCAGTAACTTAGCTTGTTTCAACAGTAGCTCAGGTATTTTGACGACATACTGTGGCACAGGTGTACTTTCAGAGAGAAAGATACACAGAGAGAGAACAGGCGGTATCTCTGCTGAGACCCTAGACTGTGAAGCTTATTTTCTTGAGACTAATAATGTAAAGGCTAGTGAAGATTGCCAATGGAAGGGCTTGCTCCCTTTCCAACGATGTCAGGAAGAATCATATAGAACGTATTTCTAAAGTTGGCAGAGAACCGTGTGAGTCAGTTTCCTATTAGGTCTGTGGACTCAGTGATCCCATTTACTGGAGTGTATTTTTAGAAGGTTGTCAGTCACCCAGGACCCTGGCCAGGTACTCTTATGTGTTACAAGAAGTTCAAACAAACAGATTTTGACAACAGGCAGCGATCTGTTTTGCTTTTAACGCATACTAAAGAATGAAAGATAGAACTAGAACGCCCTTCAAAAAAATCCACAAAGGCTATATCTAAATATACAAAAATGTTATGCTATTACTAGACATAACCTTTGCATAAAAGACCTTGTCTTTTGAGTAACACTAACCTCTTTATTCACAAGGATTTAAGCTAGGGATTTAGAAACTGGACTTTTATGTTAGCTTTTTATTCCAGCTTACCTAACTTAATTAGGTGCAGCAGTTGTTCAGATGGTGCACAGACTGATTGTGGTTTTATCTCATTTATCAAGCCATTGGCAATATTTATGTATCCATCATATAGCAGCTGACTAATTATCAGTTTATAAAGTTGCTGACGGTCTTTCAAACTGACTTTTGTTCTATACATTGTGAGCAAGGAATGCCTTGGAGGGGCCTGAAATAAAGAAAGAAGAAAAATCACATACAAGAGAGTTGCATGAAACAACCACAACCTTTAAATAAAGCACATCCTGCTGAATTTCAGTGCAGACACCAAATATTACCATACTTTAGGTAAGATTCAGAGACATAGAAATGAAAGATAAAAAAAAAAAGGAAAAACCTGTTGCACTTGTTTGCTGTAGAAATTAAAATCTCGCCAATAAACAGAACGCGAACGGTATTAAGGTGCAATAGAGAAGACAGAAATAACGCGGCATTAGTTAGCAAAATGATTCCGTCAGTATCTTTCAGTCAGCCTCGCCAGCACCGGCGGACCTGGGCGCCGGGGGGGCGATCAACATCAAACGTGCAGGGAAGTCAAACGCCTCGCCGCCCTCACCCAGCCCCAGCCCGCTCCCTCCGTTCCCTCCCGGGAGAGCGCATCCTCCCCGCGCCTCCTCCCGTCCGGCAGATGCCGGTCACCCGCCCGCGCACCCTCTCCCAGCCCCGGGCTGCAAGACCAATAACCGGGCAGGGAGGGGGCGTGGGGGAAAGGGACTGAATGAGGGCGGGGAGCGCTCAGCCGGAGCGCAGCGGTCACGGAACGCGGGCTT